TGGAAAAAAAAAGAAGAAAGCGAAAAACTCCCAATTCGAATGGATAGAAAAAAATACCCAAAATGCAAGGACTCACCCAACAATCAGTCCAGGAAGATAAAAAGAAGGGTAAAGTTACCTGCGAGTACTTTTTCAATTGGACGCCTATGTAAAGCCGCTATCTGAAAAAAGCCCCGCAAAGTCCCACTGTTGAAAAAAAAGGGCTGAAGGGTTACATTTTGCAAAGCCCTTGACTGGCCTAAAGAGAATTGGGCAATTTTTTTGTGGATGTGAAAGTAGATTGTTCTTTTTGGGTTAGGGGCCCGGGGAAAGAATTTTGTCAGACGACCCCCAAACACTGAATTCAACCCACAGACACTTAAAGACAGTGAAGCATGGTTGTGAAAGCATCATGATATGGGGTGTTTCTATATACAGTGTTGGGCCTATTTATCGCAACCAGGGATATGGATCAGTTTAAATTTACTCAAAATACTTAAAGAGGTATGATCCCTTTGTGAATGAGGAAATGCCCTTGGAAATGGGTGTTCCAACAAGACAATGACCCCAAACACACCAGTAATGTGTTGCAACATCTTGGTTACAGACCAAAAAGATTGTCGTTTATTGACGTGTCCAGCCCAATCCCCTGATCTTCATCCATTAGAAAACTTGGGGTGACATATAAAATAAAATGCAGTTTCTGAGGCCAACAAAACCAAGAAATAGAGAAGAACTGTGGGAATGTAAGACCAATCATACTGGGCATGGAATACCTGTTCACAGGGTGCCAGAAGTTGGGTGACTCCATGCTCACACAGAGATGAACAGCCAGTTCTCAGAAACAGTGGCTTATACAAACGAAATATTCATTAAGTGAATTTCAAAAGGAAAGCAAATTCTTCAACAAGCTTTCAGTTTATATAGGGAATGTTTGAGTATTGTAAAGAAGATTACAAACACTGCTATACTTTTGAACAGTTCATAATAAATATTCACTTTTCTTCATATTTCTTTAGAGGAACAATCACAAAATTTGATATATTTTCTTCATGTTTTGATTTGGAATAGAATGTGTAGTGTTTTCCCAATGCATTAGTGTGTATGGATATAAATCTATTAGAAGGTGATTTTGAGCTTTATTCACTTTTTTCAACACACATGCTATTATTTTGAACACAACTGTATGTGGATTCTGCACTTGTGTGCATCATTAACATGGGCCCTTTACCGTCCACAGACTACATGTGTGAGTAGTACTGCTGCTGCAAGCCTAGTAATGGAATTTCAATGAATAATTAAAGCCGAGGTTTAAGTTTCAGAGCAAGCTTAACTTTCAACACTTGACTACCGGTATTGTCTGTGTGGCCGCAGCCCAGTGCACATATAGGTGGTCCTTCTATGCTGGATCAGCTTCTGTACATTGCAGAACACTCTGTAAAGGACAGGGTGGTCCAAGGACTTAGAAGACCACTAAATATAACATACTTGACTGTCCAATGTAGTAGGTTATGTAGTAGACTTTGTGCGGTAGTTGTTGGATGCCCATGAAAAGGCAGAAATGCAGCCAGTCACATGAGACATCACAGACCTACCCAGTCCTCATAAAACATGAATAACCTGAATATAGAATGCATATAAAAATTTAATACATAGTAAATAATAAAGATCACATTATCAACTGCCATTTTAAAGGCTGCAGCACTTTTATTGGAGTTAACTGTACATTCTTTAACCCCTTAACACTTTAAATGGATTTTAACCAATTCAATACCGGGCAATTTTACACCTTCCTGCCCAGGCCAGTTTTCAGGTTTCAGCGCTCTCACACTTTGAATGACAATTGTGCGGTCATACAACATTGTACCCAAACTAAAACTTTATCATTTTCTTCACACAACTACAGCTTTCTTTTGGTGGTATTTAATTGCCGCTGGGGTTTTTTATTTTTTGCTAAATTAACAAAAAAAGACCAAAAATTTTGAAAAAAAACACGTTTTTCTTTGTTTCTGTTATAAAAGTTTGCAAATAAATAATTGTTCTTCATAAATTTAGGCCAAGATGTATTCTGCTACATGTCTTTGCTGACAATAACCCAAATTAGGATGTATTATTTAGTTTGTAGGAAAGTTATAGAGTTCACAAACTATGGTATAGATCTGAATATTGATCAATCCTGAAGTACTGACAGCCAATCTAATTTCTTGAGGTCCAAGAATGTCAGAGCAGTACAGATATCCCCCAAATGACCCCTTTTTGCAAAGTAGACAGTCCGACGTATTTCATAAGAGGCATGGCGAGTTTTTTGAAGTTGTATTTTTTTTGTCATAATTTTTTCGGAAAATGAAAAAAATTAAAAAAAAATTAGTTTCACTTTTTTTTTTACATATTGTCACCAGTGCAGTACAGCTTCATCATATAACTGGCATGGCGGTGATCAGGGACACTGACTGGTGACAGTATGAAAAAAAAAATATATATATATTTTTTTTTTATTATTTTTTATTTTTTATTAATTTTTTTTTATTTTTTTTTTAATATTTCACTATGACCAAAGTAGTATACTGTTACCATAGTAACATTGTACTACTTTGTGGAATTGATCAGTATTTTTTTTTTTCTTTTTACACAATTTGCTTATAGCAAAGAATTACGTTGCTATAAGCAAGCATTTACCTGAATGACATAGATTTTTGGTTTTTTTTTTTTTTTGTGCTTAGCTGTGATTTGGCCACAGCTAATCACATGACATGTGCATGTGATCACTGTGACCATTCACAGCTAGACACTAGTATACAATGGATGGCATGAATGAAGCCATCCATTGTATACAACTGTCATGTGACCTGCTGTGATTGGTCACAGCAGGTCAATATGGTACCGGCAACGGGGGGTCGATACTCAGATCTGTCATCGGCCGTGTCTGAGGTACACAGCCGGTGACAGATCGCGCCGCTGCGCAGCTCTGCAGGAGCACGATCTGCGCATGTGCGGGAGGACGCCCATATGGCGTCCACCCGGACGCTGATGACATTTGCCGGCCGCCATTTGGCCATAGGGGCGGGCGGCAAATGGTTAATGTCCAGGATGCATGGCTTCTGTATCATGTGATTGCTGTGATTGGCTCTCACAGCAGTCACATGATCAGCAGACCTGTTGTTGACAGCTCAATCAGTGTGCTGGGAGTGCACTCTCATTGCATAACCTTGCGGATGCCGGACATTAACCCTTTTGCTGCCAGGGTTGTTTTTGCTTTTTTTTCACACATGTTTGAAAAAACAATGTAGGCCTAAGGGTTATGCAAAACGCTCAAACGTTATTTATTTTCTGAAAGCAGATACCCTAAAGAACAAAATAGTGGTTAGCTCCAATTTTTTATGTTACACGATATTAACCGCCTTCCACCCGCCATATAAGAAAATGACGGGGGGGGCAGTTCTCTCGTTTTGGGGGAGGACGTCATATGATGTCCTCCCACTCTAACTATACCTGCACGCCCCTGGGCAAGGCGATCGGTGGGGGTGCTGTGTCCCTGGGACACAGCGGATCACCGATCAGAGTAAAGAGCCTGTGTCCAATCACAGCTGATTACATGTAAACAAGAAAAATGACGGTTATCGGCAGTCTTTCTCCTCATGCTGACAGCGCATGAGGAGAGGAGAGCCCGTAATCAGCATTCCTCAGAGGGGACATCTAAACTGATCATCAAGGCACTGATGATCAGTGGCCTGATGATCAGTGTAGCTCCATCAGTGCCCATCAATGCCACCTGTAAGTGCCCATCAGTGCACATCAATACCACATATCAGTGCCTACCAGTGCACATCAATGCCACATATCAGTGCCCATCAGAGCTACTTTTCAGTGCCGCCTATCAGTGCCACCTATCAGTGCCAGTCAGTGCTGCCTATCAGTGCCAGTCACTGCCACCTATCAGTGTCCATCAGTGCCGCCTATCAGTGCCCGTCAGTGCCGCCTAACAGTTTCAATCAGTGCCGCCTAACAGTTCCAGTCAGTGCCACCTATCAGTGCCAGTCAGTGCCACCTATCAGTGCCATATATGAGTGCTGCCTTTCAGTGCCCATCAATGATGCCTGTCAATGTCCATCAGTGCCATCTACCAGTGCCTCCTCATCAGTGCCCATCAGTGCAGCCTATCAGTGCCTATCACTGCAGCCTATCAGTGCCCATCCCTGCAGCCTCATTAACGCACATCAGCAAAGGAGAAAAGTTACTTTTTTACAGAATTTTAAAACAGAAACTATGAAAAAACCTTTTTTTCTCAAAATTTTCAGTTTTTTTTTAGTTTGTATAAAATAATAAAAACCTCAGTGTTGATTAAATACCACTAAAAGAAAGCTCTATCTGTCTTAAAAAAAGATAAAAATTTTGTTTGGGTACAGTGTTGCATGACTGCGCAATTGTCATTCAAAGTGTGACATCGCTGAAAGCTGAAAAACTGGCCTGGACAGGAAGGGGGTAAAGGTGCCCAGTAGACAAGTGGTTAAAGTGTTACTAAACCCAGGACCCTGCATTCACTATATCTGGTCTCCATGGACCCTGCATTCACTATATCCGGTCTCCCCGGACCCTGCATTCACTATATCTGGTCTCCATGGACCCTGCATTCACTATATCTGGTCTTCCACAGTACACAGAAACATGGAAATGCAATTATTTTAGTAAATCTAAACTGCTAAATACATTTTCTCATCTGCAGATAGAGCAGTCTTGTGACTTCTATCAGTGTCCAGCCGAGCACTGGTTAGGAGGAGTTTTCATTCTGCTCTGACTGTCCTATGAGGCTGCATGACCCCTGACCCTCTGTCTAAACAGTGCCGATTGGCCCTGTGCTGATCACATGCACTCTTCCAAAGAAAAAAAAACCTCTCTAGCAATATACACCAAACTGAGCATATGCAGAGTAACTCCTAGAGCCCTGTACTATCTGCAGATGGATTGGGGACTGTAGAAAAAGGGGAGGATCAAAGAAGACAGGATCAAACAGCCTTTTTACATAATGCAGAGGATTAACCCCTTAGGTTCCACAGTGAGTTTAACAAGCATGCTTTACTGCATATACACACTGATTTTTCTGTTGTCGGTTTATTAACACTTTAATACAACAGTTCATGAAACACAAAATTTCTGAAAAAAATTAATTAAAGTGAATTTTAAAGCACATGAACATAACATATTACACAATTGTTAGTAAAATATAGAAGAGTTAATAGATAGCCAGCATGTCAAACCTTAAAATTGCCTGTGAAATGGCGACAAACTTCAGTATCCTATATTTTCCATAGGCAACAATTTTAAAAGCCCCATACTGCTTTTGGGTTTAGAGATGACTGTGAATAATGAGCCTAGAATAATTGTTCTCACTGTGGTGCGTGTAGTGATATGTAACGTGTAGCGCAATCAATGTTTGTAGAGTACGTAGGCGCCCCCATTGTGTGCATTTACATTCATACGTACATGTAGGGGGGGGGCCTCAAAAATTTCTAAGTGCTTGTGTGTACATTTAATTTTTTACACCCTTATTTTAAACATTTTTTATTAAACTTTTTTTTAATTATATAGGGGATAAAAAGTCCCATAAGTGCATTTTTGGTGACAGGTTCTCTTTAATGAGATCAAAGACGAATTCTCCTGCGCTCTAGGGCTCAGACAGGTGGCGAACAGATGGAACCAGGCCTGGAGGGATCGTCCACCAATGCATAAAGAGCTGTGCGGCTCCAAAACAAGGCTGGGGAAGCCCAATCAACACTGCAGAATGAAATGAAAACGAGAAGCGCACCAACCTTGCGCATTACCTCAGTAACCAAAATTTATTAATTGTAAAAAATATACTCACAAACAGCGAATAAAATCAGGCATGTAAGTCCTCACAGGGACTTGAAGATAACATGAGTCCCATCAGGGGAGTGGGTGTTCAGTACAGCTGACGTGTTTCGAAGGGGGTCCCTTCTTCCTCAGAGCTCTGAGGAAGAAGGGACCCCCTTCGAAACGCGTCAGCTGTACTGAACACCCACTCCCCTGATGGGACTCATGTTATCTTCAAGTCCCTGTGAGGACTTACATGCCTGATTTTATTCGCTGTTTGTGAGTATATTTTTTACAATTAATAAATTTTGGTTACTGAGGTAATGCGCAAGGTTGGTGCGTTTCTCGTTTTCATTTCATTCTGCAGTCTCTTTAATGAGATATCAGAGGTGTAAAAGGCACTGCATTCCCCAGGGAAAGTGACATGGTGACCCAGAAAGGACCTTTTACATGTCACTTCCAGGTCAGTAACAGGAAGGGGAGACCTACAAACGTACGTTCCTTGGTCTCCCTTCCTTCTACCTGATGGCACCCACCATACTTCTCCTGGGCCCATCAATGGGTGCGCAGAGCTCGGGAAACATGACAAAGGCACGCATGGGAGTGGAGGGTACAAGCCGGATCTCTTCCATCTGACAGCCGACAGTTGGCTTGTCAGATTGACCCACAGTCAGCCACCAGGAGTGTGTAACCCCCCACCCCCTTCATTGCCACCTGCGTAGTTTCTACAGCAGTAAAAGAGTTATAACCCACTTTTCTTGCTGCTGCATATATGTGGAAAGTGACTAAAAACTAAAAAAACTAAGGGTTTTAGTATCATTTTAATATATTCCTGTCTAATTTAATGGGGGTGTAAGACCAAACAGGAAGACGGAAATTCTCCACAACAGGGACGCAGACAGCAATAAAAACATTTTTAAAAAGAGTGGGGAATGGTTAAAACCTCAGCGTAGTTTTTAAAGCAGTTGTAAACCTCAGACATGAAATATGAACAAAGCATATTCCTCTATAGTGTATATTTGTCTCAATCCAGAACACTAAGGGTCATTTCTGTCTGCTGCCTCATTTTTCTGCTATCAGCATGAGTCACGTCTGATACTTTTTCCTGACACCAAGAGAAAAAAGGTGACAGGGGAGGACACAGCATGTGATTGACAGCCTCAGCTGTGCTCCTGTGTGCTGTGTGAAGGGGGTGTGTCCCTTCCCTCCAATCAGTTCTCTGAGCTCTCCTCCCTGAGTGTAACTTCAGCTCCCCACCCCCTGCTTTTCAGAGCTGAGAGATCCTGTGTAACCTCTGCACTTTGAATGAATGTAGAGAAGATAAGACTGTAGGTAAATAGGTACAACATATGTAGGAGGATTTCTTTCATCTTTGTGTATCACCTGAAACCAGTCACTTCACTGGATATACAGTATTTAAGGGTTTACAACCACTTTGATGCTCTCTCAAATTCCCCCTCACTTCTTAACGTCAGACAGAACCAGGGGTGGACTGACAACTCATGGGGCCCCCGGGCAATAGGGGATCATGGGGCTCCTGAGTCCTTGCCCAAACTCAAAAAAAGGCTATGAAAAAGGTACCAGGGGCATCTCATGGGGCCCCCTACTGACCCCGGGCCCGGGGAAGTTCCCAAGTTTCCAAATGGTCAATCCGCCCCTGGACAGAACAGGAAGTGTGGGGAAATCTGTCCAAAGAGGACATGGCAAAACAAAAACCAGAGGCTCTGACACTTCCACATTCTGTCTTTTTTTTGCTTCTTTATTTAAACTTTTCTATTTGATTTTCCAGTACAAAACGAACAACAACTCAATTGCAAAAATATTTCACATATACATATTTCCATTTACCCCAATATTAACCCCTTCCCAACTCACCCTTCCCCCAACCCATTTTCCCCTCCAACCAGGGGTGGACTGACAACTCATGGGCCCCCGGGCAATAGGGGATCATGGGGCCCCTGTGTCCTTGCCCACACTCAAAACCACACCCAAAAAAGCCTATGAAAGGTACCAGGGACATCTCATGGGGGCCGCCTACTGACCCTGGGCCCTCGCGCAGTGCCCGAGTTTCCAAATGCTCAGTCCGCCCCTGCCCCCAACCCATTTTTCCCCATCCACATCCTCCTTCCTGATCTGTATCTTCTCTCATAATTATCTATCTATATCTGACACTGCTCTCTCTCGGATTTTCCATTAAGGCTCTCTCCTGACTTCTAAACTTCCCCCTCTATTCCGACCAGTTCCATATATCTTTCAGAGGCTTTAAATTTCAACCAACTACACCACATTTTCCTGCATTTTTCCATTTTATCCTCCTCCATGTGATATAGCTCCTCCATCCTGGATATTTTCAACTCTATCCATTCGTTAATTCTTGGTGCTTCAGGAACCTGCCAAAACTTGGGAATCAAACCCTTAGCCGCACTAATTAAGTGCTAAAGTACCCTATTTTTGTATAATTTTACTGAAGGCTCAAAGTTATAAAACAAACACCTCCACGGATCTCTCTGTACAATTATCCTACATATTTCCTGAATGTATTGGGTTATTTCCCTCCAGTAATCCTGTATTTTTGGGCAACTCCACCATATATGTGCCCAGGGCTGTTGTTAGAAACCATGGGGCCCCATACAACCGACCTGACAGGACCCCCACTAAAAAAAAATAAAATAAAAAAAACACAGTTTATGATGCTTCAGTTATCGGTATCAATCACTCATTGTGTTCATTCAGGAAAGAAAGGGGCTAGTAAATGTGACATATTTACTGGACCCTTCCCCTACTCTCCATTCTGAACGATTCTATTGTGTGCTTGGTGTGAAGCCTGTAGCACTGCGGGAGGGGGGGGGGGGGGGAGGTTGGGGGCATACAGGGGGGTCCCTGGGCAGTAGAGGGAAACATATGGTGCACAGGGAGGGTGATCAATTACTGGAACCGATCCCCTGTATGACAATCTCTGTAGCAGCTGAGGAGAGAGAGGAGAAGAATCCAGCTTTCAGCTGCTGCAAGAAGAGCCATACTGGGGATCGGTTCCAATAATTCCACACTGTGCTGATCACCCTCCCTGCCCACATCCAATTCACCTAGCTGCCTGGGCCCCCCTGCGAGTCTGGGCCCCATACAGGAGGACTGGTGGTACCCCCTTATCCAGCCC